TGAAGGCTCTGTGAATAAGTGAAGCTTAACGTTTGGCTTTTAAACTTTTGAATATTAATTATGTCTTATGCATACATATAGTTTAGAAACTTGCAGCAACATTGTAATAATATTTTGCAAAGTTACTGTAATATTACTTGAACGTTACATTGTTGCTGCAAATGTATGATTGGAATGGAATAAAGTCAATTTTATCCTATGAAGTATATTTAATAGTATAATACACTGCTAGAAATTTCGTTAATTTATGTGACATGTAAATGAAGCTTGTAATGATTATGATGGAATTGAAAAATAATGAATGAACTGAAACTAACTTAACTGAAACTAAGTTACAGTCATAACTTTAAATATAATGAATAAAAAAATTAAATTTCAAATTTACATCATTAAATTTAATTTTTTTTAATCTGTCATTAAATTTAAAGTTTTTTTCTATTAATCTATCATTAAATTTCAAATCTAAAATTCTTAAAAATGTATGGAAAATACATTAAATTTCATAAAATTTTAAGAAAGTACATTAAATTTTTTATGAAAAATATATTAAACTTCATTTATGTGCATGTACATAAATATATTTTCGATTATAAGCACATTAGATTTTATAATATTTTTAGAAGTGTAGACTATAATTGTAACACATTCGTATAAATTACGAGACGTAATATATGTATAAACATGGTCAGATTAATTAGTAAGTAATTAATAAAGTAATAATGTGATTGAATAAATTACATATTTATAAGAAAGTTGATTCGTCATATACAATCGTAAAATTATTTTATGTTACGTAATATAATGCAAAGAGATTAATTATACGTCAAGTGCGCTTCATATATTCCAAGCTAAGATTGTTGTTAGTACTGATGTTATACAATATGGTTTTCAGGTCATAGGATGCACTTTCTTATTGGCTTTTGTCATTAATATGATGTATCTGATCTGTATATAATACATGAAGTGATTAAGAAAACAAAAAGATGTAAGTATAGTAATATCAATATCATATTGTAATTTTACACACACACACACACACACACACACACACACACACACACACACACACATACACACACAAAACACACATATAATTTGAATAAATAAAATAAAAAAACTGGGACTATTATTATTCATATTTATCATAAAGAAATTGTCAAGTTCAATTATAATTTAGAATATTCAGGTAATATATAGACAGATAATAATAATACCTTTAAATTAACAGGATTTAATACAACTAAATAAAATTATTTAAATTAATTTGAATAATTATAATATTTATAAAATACATGTAATACGTGTTGCCTTATTAAACTACAAACTTATACAGATTTTATATCTTTATAAATGCATTACAATATTTGCAGATTGTATGATTATTTTGTTATTTGATATGTGATAATTACCAGGTATGTGTAACTTCTATTCTAATGAGTGGAGTCGATATAGTCTACGGTTAAGGCGTCGATATATTCTAAGGCTCAGACTTGGATCTATTGCTCCTGCATGATATATTACCAGATGACTTTCTAAAACTCTCCTAGGCGGAGAATAAAATGTAAATCCACACATTTTACATTTTGCAATATATACGTTGTTTTTCTCGAAATATTGCCACAAATAAAGTTGATTATTATTCCAGAAATCATAAAAATCTTGGTTATTATCCTGCATTGCCATTATGATCGTGCACAGAGTGTGTTATTACTAAACACGGCGTACCGATTATTCTAAAGAAAATATTCGAAGAAACTGTTTGGAGAGGATCGAAGGAGAAACGGTGAGTGGTATTAAAATGTAAATATTAATATAAATTTGAATCTTGCTGACACAGTTGAATTGTATAACGTATAATTTTATATCTAATTGTTCGATTCTCGTAGTTTAACATTTAAATTAAAATATATTGCCCATTATGGCAAGTCAATTAAGAAATGAGATTAGCAGTAAAGGTCAGTTAAATTTAAGCTTGTATAATATTTGATTTTTTTGTCTGTACGATTATTAAAATATAAATTGTGATAATTATTGTAATAAAAGCGATGTCTACATTTTTAATTTATATTGAAAATATAGAATCGATAATATATAAGCTACATATTTTGGTTTATATAAATAACGTATATAAAATGAATGTAGAAAGAACACATTTTTTTTGAAAACAATAGAAAAAGTAGCTTTGCAACCGTTGTAAAATTCTTAGATATAATTGAATTACATTTAGATCTAGTCAGAAACTAAGGGCAAAACCAATCATATTAAAGAATTTTACAACGGTTGCAAAGCTTTTTCTGCTGAACGCAGCCATTGTATACCCTGCATATACTTATGATTGTATCATTATATAATAAATAAATATATATCAAACTAATGATATATTTAAAGCATTTCTACCATGATTAACTTTAATTTTTTTAACTTATTTTTGATCTTTTCTTAGTTCTTAGAATTAGAAACAATAAAGAATAAGTTAGGGTTAATTCCATAATTAAATTCCATAATGAATAATATTCATTTCTATTAACACAGATTAACTTATTTAATTTAATTTTCCTTTTTATCTCTTTCTAATTCTAAAAATAAAAAATATATATATAAGAATATAGTTAAACCGAAATTAAAATTAATCTACATTGGTAGAAATGAGTATGAGTCAGACAATGATATGTGAAGTAAGAATTTATGTGGTTTCCAGAGGAAAAAATTTCTCAATCCGCCCATATGTATGCACGTGCAACAGTGGATTCGAAGATGGCGAAAGAGACACGTGCGCTTTTATTACGCTTTATACGTCTCCCCGTCCGGATTTTAAAACATTAATAATTATTTTTAAATTAAGATCCATTTATGGGTTTCCGGTTCCGAGAGGAAACCCCATTATTGTCATGTCCACGTGTCTGAGTTTTTTCTGTATATTTATTACCGCACACGTGCGCATGAGCCAGCGACGCGACGTACAGCACGATCGTGATCCTTTTCGCTTGAATATTCGTATTTATGGGGATAGAGGGTTGACCCTTCAAGGGAGATACTTTATCGAATCATATATCCGAAGCTCTAGCACGAGGGGCCTGGGAAAAGACGCTGCAAGATTTCATATTTTCATTAAAGACAATTAATATACAATAAATAAAGTACGTTTTTCTTTTACTTCTTATATTTTTCTTATTGTTTATTCTATGTTTAATTATTTGATTTTTTTTTTAGCTGAATATTCCGTATCGTTTATCTTTCTTACCAATATGAAAGGAAAAAGAGGAAAAATGAATGACACAAGAAATTCAGCTGAAAAGAACAGACTTGTTTCTATATACAAAGAGAATTCAGAATGTTGAGGAAAAATCTAAAATTTTCAGAGGTTTCTCTTTTTTACTCTTTTCTTTCTAAAAACGTTTTTCTTTCATCTTTGTTCTTGATGGTATAAAACGTCATAATCTGCTAGCAATAAATATGATATACACGCGTATGTATAAATATGATGTACTTATGTACATCCTCATTTGTACCTCGCAAGTTTTTATTTAAAAAGTCAAGGTAGCCGACAATATACAGTAGAAAAGAGAGAGAGAGAGTAGCTCACTGATACTGTAATGATATATCGTTCCTATACTTATCCTATATTATAGGATTTGTGACTTTATTGTAGAAAAAGAAAGTCTTACATGAATAATTCTTGTCTTCTATTAATTTACAGTAGTATACGTAGTTTATTTGCGTTACTCGTTTATTATTCTCATTTATTTGAAAATTGCATAAAAATATTTTCAATAAAATCTTACCTAAAATTTTTTGAATAAAAAAATAAAAAAAAATCCAGGATCTCTCAGAGAGATAAATCTCAATTTTTTTTCACAAGATTTCAGTAAACTCCTTCGAATCGAATGGTTCGCGGAGAAATCCTGCTTGGCCGCATCGGTTAGCAGCAGTCTTCGCCGAGCCCTTCTGGGCCTCGAGAAAGTATCGGAGTTGAGAAAAAAAAAGGAGAGAGAGGCCAACGGGTGGATGAAGAGCACCGGCCGCAGGGGGTGGAACACGGTGTGGTAATAGCATAAATCCGTGAACTGTGTGTAGTCGGTTCCCGATGGTCTCGAGGAGGGGGAAGGGACAGGCAGGCCGGAGGCAGGCCGAGCGTTGGAAGAAACGACAGTCGCCACTCGACGCCTGCACCGAACGGAAGGTAGCTCTGTGTGAGCATTCGGCCTTTTCGGAACTACGCTTTGCATATTCCGCGTGGAAAAAGTCTTCCCGCCGAGAACAAAAACGAAGTCTCTCGGGGCGAGCTTCGACCGCGAGTAATTGACGTTGTTGATTGCGAACTCGTTGCGCTCTGTATTAAAAAAAAAAAAAAGTAAATAAATCAACAAAGAGAGATACAAGTTTCACTATTCCGAAGAGATTTCTTCTTTTCTTCTTCTTTTTTTTTTAATTTCTTCTTTTTTTTTTTTTTTAATGAAACGCAAGAACGATCGCGGTAAAGAAACGATGAAACGCGATCGCGGGATCGTCTTGGACCCAGTGTGAAGAACGTCCGTAGGAGGGGAGAGAAGTCCGCGGGGTATCGATCGAGAGGGATCGATCGATCGTGTGAGTGGGTCGAGCGGAAGCGCCTTTTCCGGTCGGCGGGAATTTCGGCGGAGCGATCGGGGCGCGCGCTTCGACGGTGAGGGAAGATCGAAGAGAGATCGACTTCTCGTAGCGCTCTCGCTGGAGCAACCGCTCAGTGTCCGCCGTGTTTCGCCCGATTCGCTCGCTTGCGATTCCGCAAATGCGATTCCGAAAGCGGCGCGACTCGTGAAAGTGCGCTGGCGGCGGTGTCGTGCCTGTCAGCCGGACAGGTGCGAGAGTAATTGACACGAGGACGAAGTGAAGACAG